GTAGTCGTCGTAGTAGTCGTAGTAGTCGTCGTAGTCGTCGTCGTAGTAGTAGTCGTCGTAGTAGTCGTAGTAGTCGTCGTAGTCGTCGTCGTCGTAGTAGTAGTAGTCGTCGTCGTAGTAGTAGTGGCAGTAGTAGAAAGTAGTACCAGTAGCAGCAGTAGTATGCCGACACTTGTTCAGAGGGAAAACAGATGACAGTTGTTCCGTTTGTGTTGTATATGTCTTCATGTGTGTTATGTGTCTTAAGGTGCCTTGATTTTGGTTCTTGTGTGTGTGTGTGTGGTTTGAGTGTGTGTCTTTCGTCGGCAGCCCATAAAGCCAAATCCATCCAAATCCAATAACCTATATCGGCCTACCCCCCAGCCAAAATCCAAACCTCATCCTCAGACCAAAACCGAAACTGCCTGACCTGGCAATCTTCGTCGAGGTTTATATTACATCTTAAAGTCTGAGCTTGCTTTTGACAACCTGCCCGATGGGGCGCAGCCGTTTGCACAGAAACGGTTCATCAGAAATTGCGCATCAGCAACCATCGTGCATCAGAAACCGGCGCATCAGAAACCAACACGTTTGGAAACTGGCACGGGGCCATGGGGGGGGGTGGGGTGGGGGGATGATAACGTCCATGGTCTCGTGGACTCTGAGCACAAAGCATCCACGCCCAACCGATGCATTCTGACTCCTTGGGGGTGAGGGGGGGGGACATGGTAGCGTCCATGGTTAAATGCATTCTGAGCAGACAGCATCCAGGGCCCAACAGAGCATCCATGGCCCAACCATGATACCATGGTTTGATGCATTCAGCATGAAGCCCCGCGCTCGAACACGCAACGGAACCCAGGAAATTGCACGGTTCAATAAAGTGAGAGAGGGGCAGGTCCTGCTGTCGGCGGCTTGCTCCTTTTGGCAAAGAGCGTGGCCTCAGTTCGTGCGGCCGAACTGCGATCGACTGTAACTTTAAATGTACTTATGCTTGTGCGTACAATCCAGTGAAGCGTCGAGAGTTTGGCCCTGCTCGGCCCCTGGGTCCGCAATGTTCCAGGCAACCGTTCCCGAATCACGGCTTTTGGTTTCCGAAGGATGCTTCTGGTTTCTGATTCAGCCGTTTTCGTTTCCGATTCAGTCGTTCTGGTTTCCGAGTCATGTTTTCCGAATCAGTCGGTCTGGTTTCTGATGCAGCCCTTTTGGTTTCCGATTCAGCCGCTTTAGTTTCGGAGGACCCGTTGAACAGCTAGGGGTTGACATTGTTGCCTTCCAAGGCGGAAATGATCGCGCAGCTTGATGCCTGGCACACGGACCTGCAGGCTCCAGCTCCAGTTTTGGAACCGTGGCCGCAACATGACTTCTGCAATTTCCACCGTTGGCGGCAGGAGACGTCGGCATATTCGCAGGCCAGAAGATGGGCGTGGCCTACTGAGGAGGACCTTGGCTGCTGTGACCGGTGTGGTGCTCATTCCAGCACAACATGAAGTTTGCACATCCGAGGATGTCCATCTGCATCTTTCCCATGTTGCGATCGTGCTCCTGGCCAGCTGGCTCCGTGAGGCATACCGGGGGTTGCTGCAAACTGAAGGCCGTTGCCACGCCACAGCACGGGCTCGCGTGATTTGCTATGCCTGACCCATGAAGGCTCTCTCGATGTTGTCTGTTTAGCTCGAAATCTGAGTGCATGCCGGAGAGTCCAATGACGATGCTTTACTTTAAAGTCGGCGTAGCCCAGAGCCTTGTGTGAGTGTTCCTGACGAGGCCGAAAGGACCTGCGAGAGCATTTCAGAGTCCTGTGCAGAGGCTGAAAGTGAGTTTGTTAGAGTTGACGCCTTACCACGCGCATGCTATTGCGCATGATTGAATTGGCTATCCTGCTGTGTCACCGATCAGACATCGCTCTCGACCGAGGTCTGGCGACGTTCGGCAGACGGCCTGCTTTCAGGACTCTGCCTTCGTCTCAACCGTCCCACCCCAAGCATCTTGACTTAGCGCGGACTGGTCTGTCACCTTCTAACTTCTAACAGTGGGTCGGCCTGCAGATGCTCGCCACCACTCTGCTCAACGATTGCTCGGGGAGGCGCAATCGCCACATTTGACTAACTTCTGATGCCATTGAAGATGCCACATGCTTGGATGCCCTTCACCGATCGCTAGCATGTTTGCAGAGCTGCATGAACGGCAACACCTTCCTGAACAACGAATTACGATGCCATTAATTACACTACTGTCCTTTTGCTCAGACAATCATCCGGCAGAGCTGACTTGGCAGTTTCTTTGGGCGAGAAGTTGCCTGTGCAATTTCCAGTTCAGAAGCAACATGCTCTTCCCCGGGCTGGGGTGGTTTGGGCCGTGCTTCGCGAAAGACTGTGCAGGCTCTGCGCTTGGAGAAAGGCTGCCGCTTGCTGTTGGATCGTGTGGTGCCCTGCCTACCTTCAAGGAGGATGTCTCAGCCTGTTTTGCATGCTGGCCGACCGTCGCAGGGATTGCCAAGTTCAGCTGCATTCTCTTGCGCATTCATTCTGGCATGAAGCGTCATGGTTGGCAACATAAGATGCAAAAAAAGGATTCACTGTCCCCATTGGGTTGTCGGCATGGTTTCGTTTCAATATTTGTGACTCAGCATGCAAAAGCACGGACATGTGCGGCCTGCTTGGAGGTATATCTGGGCCCTGAGAAGCACTTCGCAGGGGAAGCCCAGAGTGCACAGTGAGTAAACCGGAGGAGAAACAGCGCTTTCCAGCATGTTGCCGCTGACTTGAGCCGTTCTTCGAGACGCGATGACGTGCGTGAAATCAAGTACGAGGGCGCTCTGCCTCCGCTTCTTTTTGGCTCGAGAGCCCTCTCGCAGAGCAAAGCCGCAGCATATTCAAGGAGCTCTGGATGGCTCTGTGGATCCTAATGGTGACCCAGTGTGTGCGGGATGCTCCAAAGCCTCAAAGACTGTGATGTTGCAGGATGGCCGACAGCGGAGGTTCGACTGGGCGTGGCTCCGCCGCTGCGTCGGTTGGTGGAGTGCGAGCCTTGGCCGATGGACCCTGCGTAGCATTTGGTTCAGATACGAGTTCTTTCGTGAACCTCCCGGATTTGCCAAGTCCAGAACGGCTTTAGCGCGGCGGTCCAACGCAAGGTCGGTCCGCCTTTGCACATGACTTTCCGGCAAGATTCAGCCATGAGGCTTTTGCAGGGATTCACTGCTTCAGCCTCGCTTATAGAATGCCAAGCAGCTTGAACTGCGTTCCATGTCTCAGCAATGGTGATGATGAGTTGTATGACAAAGGCATGACGAATGTTGCAGGCAGTAAGCAGTTCCGCAAAGCAACTCTGCCAAGCCACTTGCTTCGTTTGTTCTTTAGCAGGGCCGGTGGCGCTACGCAGGGGGCCAACAGCGGGCGTAAAGCTGCGGGAGGCTGTCGAAGCTTTCTGCTCAAGGAGTTTCCACGATGTCACGACACCAAGTGGATTACAGAGGAAAGTTGGTGTTTAAGCAACAGCTGAATTGATAGATTTTCTCTTGCCTGGTCTCGGTTGGCCAGAACAAGGCGTATGAAGCCAGCTGTGTCAGAGCCACCTGGCAGGCGGAATTCTAAAGTTCTACTCTGACGATGCTCCCGGCTTGAAAGTCGGACCTACGACTGTGACCTTGGATTGGAGTTTCGACTCGCATGCTTCGTGTTCTTGGGGTGCCTCTAGCTTTCATGCTGACACTTCGTGGCGGAACGCCTGCGCAGCAGCATTAGATGCTTGAACCCGTCGTCATGAGAGCAAGCTTTGGTATCCACCATTTTGCAGATACGTTGTTGCTGTGTGCACGTGCCATGTGCCAGCAGGTCCGCTTACAAATGGGCGCTTTCGGGTTAAGTCTCTGCGTACTAGCTTGCTTCGGGTCTTCACAGCAGGAGGAGCAGGCTGCACTGTCTGCACCGAGCACCTTGTGACACGATGTCAGCACACGGCTTGCAGATTCTACATCGGGCACGAGACTGCGGAGTGCACGGATGTTCCACAGCATCACAGCATTCAGACCTCGTTAACATACCCAGTAACGATGCAGTCAGTGAAGGCACACCACTCAGCATCAACTCGTCAGAGACGTCCGAATTCAGAAACTGGTGCTCAAAGAAAGCTGAATGCACGATTACAGTGCACATTGGCTTGCGCGTGCTCGCGCCTTCGGTATCCTACCGCATTGTATGCCAGTACGAGTGCCTTTGCACTTGCGCATGCGACCACCTTCAGATCAGAAGACCTTGCGCGTGCTTGCTTATTGGCTGATGGTTCCCTACATTAACTGGCCTTTTGGATCTTCGTGGTGGGCATGTTGAATCCTGCCTGTACAGTTACGGGGATACATGCACTCCGTTGTGGCCAGATTGTTTTTATGCAGGACGCCAGTTTTGTATGACACCACTAGTCAAGAACGCCAGACCGAAAGAACAATAAAATGGCTTGCGCACTGGACTCGACTCGCACGTGCTGCAGGCCACCTGACACAGTCAATGCACACAAATCCGAGTGGGGTGCAGCCTTTGCAAAGCTGCTTCGGTACTAGTTCCGGACAGAAGCATAGCAGTGCGTGAAACAAGAAGTTTGGGCACTGCTCTGCGGCGGGTGACATTGTCTGCCGCCAGAACCACGATAAGCACGAGTCAATGGAAAGGCTTCATTGTAGCCTGACAGATTGACATCTTAGTGCGCTCGGATGCCGATGCAAACTGCAGCGAGAGGGCACAGTATTTGCGACTTCAGGGGCGCCCTCAAAGAAGCCTGTGGTCATTGGTGTACGTACTATTTAGCGCCACATCATGTCGGCTTCATTGTCGGGAGTTGCACACATTTGTTTCTCTAGGGTTGGCGAATGGAGGTACTCGTGCTCTCCCTTGTCTTCATGGCCATTGTCTGCTCCCTCCACATTCTGGGCAAGTTCCGAAGTGGATAAGCGAAGATAGAAGGCGGGAGTGTCATGGGGCTGCAGCGGCGAGGATACCGAAGATGGGAACAGCAAGACCCTGTTGTTGGATGCAGGCGCGATGCATCAGGCTGCTTTGGACCAGACGGACGCTATCGGACGCTAATGATTTCACTTCAGCTGCGCTGCTCAGATTTTGAGGAACAGCCACAGGATGTTCTGCCATTGCGCAGAACTGCTGCATACCGCTGCAGTTAGTTTGTTATCCTTCTTTGGAGGAGAGGCACATGATTGCAAGCCTAACCGTGCCCTGCACACAGACACGTGGCGAACGTCACACGAGGAAAATATGCTGCTGTTTCCAGGCAGGGTAAGAGCAGAAGAACCTGTGAATACGAGGTAGATGCCAACGAATGCTCACATTCACTCATGCCGTACGTCCACTGTAGATTATGATGTCACACGACATTTGCCTCCTGTCAGCACGGTTTTGGTGCTGTTCGGTCGTCGCTTGCAAAAGCACTGAGAGTAGGACCAGGGAGATTCCGGAAGGCTTTTGTGCCATGCTGATATCGCGGTGATTTTCAGCTACATAGATGCAATTGGAGCGGCCGATTCCGCTGAACCTCGCAGAGAGTCAGAGAGTTGTCAAAGTCGGGGAATCCGAGACGTCTGACTCCAACCCCAGCAGCGGTCAAATCTGGTGGGTTGGGGCATGGGACACATAGCTTGCTTTTGGCATAGACATAGACAAATCATGCAGTTCAATCCGGCAGAAGGAAAGCTATATCTACGTGACCAAATCGAGCTCTGTGGAGCTTGCAGGAGTTGTCGTTTACAATTCACCTGAAAATTAGGGAACTCAGTCAAAATTGCATCCAGTACCTTTATCTGTTCCTTTCTCAAGAGTTAAAGGGGGGTGGGGCCCGCGCCACCACGCAAATAGAACAAGAAGGGGCTTCCCCCCCAACCACAAGGTGGCAGCGGTGTTGTACCTCCGCCCCCAGCTTAACGTCCATCTGTTTAAGCCAGGTTTCAAGTCTGATGATTCAGTATAGTCAATTAGCCAAGGTGCCACCAGGACACTTCTGCTGAAACAGCATGGCTTTTGTCTTTATGCGGCGGAGTACGTCTACGTAGCAGGTTTGTAATTAGCCAACTGCCACCAGGACAGTTCGAAGCTGCTCGCAGATGGCCGGTTATTGCGTTGCAGGGACATTCCGGAGCGCAATGAGGTCCGTCAAGGTACTACGATACGACAAGGGTGTCTCTGTACTGTCAGAAGATCGATGTCATTTTGCGGTGAAGAAGCTTCATGGCAGACATATGTGCTTGCATCTAGGCTGCTCGAGCGCTATCGACTCTGCATCGTTTTTTGCCCTAGCTTTCGTGGCCTCGTCTCAAGTACTCTTAAGCTAGCGATTGGACACGGAAAAGGATTTGAAACTCTACCCCTCGAGGTTCGCTTGCTGAGGGTGGGATGCATGGACGGCTTGCACTGCGTCGCTTGGCCCCGGTTGAAGCAGGCGGAAGACGAGGCTTTTGGTAGAGGAGGTCTGGCTACTCAGAAGGTAGGGGAGCCGTTGATGCTCGCACGTTTGTCTGGGCGCTACCCCCGACTGAACCCCGAGATGTGATGCAGTCAACATCAGTCGCCGAGTTGGAATGAACCCGCACAGTCTTAGGTTCATTGCACGCAGGGGTCGGGGTTTCGACCGACCTCCTCCATAGCTAGACGACGGAAGAGCACGCCGGCCCAAGTCAGAGCATCCTAAGAGTTTCAATATGATGGGGACCACAGGCATGCCATGGACAGAGCTGGGACAAGTTCTTCCGTGCGCAAAGAGTGCTTCTGTGCTCTCGTTGGGGTTCCGGGTTTGAGGGAAGCAAGCGTGAACAGAGAAAGAGAGAGAGGAACAAGAAGCGAAACATTGACCGCACGGAAATTTGCCACGGACAATTCGACATGACGGAAGAAAGCTTTCGCGGCGTGGCAGGCAAGCAAGTTGCAGATGCTGATAAGCGCAGACGACGAGTAGACTATTAAGCAGCGAGGTGCCACGACGTGATTATGCAGAGGAAGCCCGACTGGGAGCCGAGATGGTCTGACAATGCTAAGACGGCCCGACAAAGTGCTTGGTCTCAGCTTGAGATCTGTGGTAACACAAGAACCCCGAGAGTGAAACCGCCAAGAAACACCCAGTGTGCCCGACAGCGCCTCGCATACAATCGAGAAGCGCTGCCAGCCGCGAAAGCATGCCTGTCCTGGGCCTGATCCCATCTGCCAGGGGCATGGAAGCATTTGCGGCCAGATGCCACCGGGAGGGACAACACCAGGAACCACTTTTTCGTTTCCTGAGTCCGAAACACCATGTGTAGTCAGACTTTAATTACAACTATGTGAGGCCCAAATCAAGCAAGATCTGCTATCTCCTCCGTCGCTTCTGGCTCCAGCGAACTGACCAACTATGGAAAGCCCTCCCGAAAACAGAGGATCATGTCCACACAGAAAACCCTGCTCAAGCTGTGTGGCAGTAGGGCAGGGCATCAGTCAACATCCGAGCCCCAGTCTTTCTATTCAGTAAACTGTAGTTAAGACCTTTCTTGAAAGCACCCGCTGTTGGAGTTGAAGCTTTTGCCACCCGATGTTGGGCAAATGACCTGCTACTGCTAAAGCAGCTGCAGCTCCCGCTTTGCCAGCAATGGCCAGTCCGGACATCCAATGCCGGGGGTTGAGGGTGCAAGGTCATTTGAGAGCCACACGACGCGGGCATCAGACGGCTTAACCAGGGCAGCCAGTTCGAGTTCGGAGGACCGCCAAGATCGATTGGGTCAGGCGGTCGCTCTGGAGAAGAAGGCTCTGAATTGTGCTGTAAGCGCATATGGCAGATGTGATCGAAAGGCTGAAGAGTTTCCTGAGTTTGCACGCGACTCCTACGAGTATCGGGCTACAGCAACATGAAGCTTGACCTTGCTATTTAGCACTCCTTCGTCGTCACATGGAGCCTACGTGCATCCCTCATCGCAGCTTTTCAATGCATGTGGATGTTAGGGGTTACCTCATAGCATCACACGCTATGACTGATGAATGCACCGACGAAGCCGCAGCGCTTGCCGACCCCGCTTGGTGCTCAGTCTGACTTGTCTCAGAGGCTCCTGCAAGCATTGGCGTGCTTCACCAGAGTGCGGCGAGTGAGGTCCCTGCGACAGCAATACTACACTTGCAGACATGCGAAAAACGGAGGCGGTGGGGCAGTGCGTGTTGCGAGTGTTATGAGTCCTTGGCTGGTCCTTGACATCGGTTCCAGGCCATCAGCAAATGGGGGGAAGTGTCAGTCTTCCGAACCTTCCAGTGGCTTGGCTGACTAGGTAGGGCAGGATGAGAGGCTCTTTTGCACCTTGAGTTCTTGTAGTAGTACAGTTGATGCACTAATCTACTGTAGCCTCCACGGTGCGCTGCGAAAGTCTCAAACTCACATTGAAGATTCGAGCACCCGTGCAGGAGCATTCGTGCGGTGATACCGTCAGGGAAGGCTTGCAGTTCTTTTCGGGGCAAGCAGAGGTCGACAGCCCAGAGAACTGCAGACCTTGACAAAGCAGCGTTTCGGGGCCGTCGAGCTTCGAACCGGATGCTCAGGTGCTAACGTTTGAGGAGGTGGTCTCTGACCAGCCTCGAGCGTGAATCTCAAAGCTGCCATGCGGGCCTGAATGCAACCGCATTCGGTTCGACCAAGGACATCAGTCAGAGCGGAGTTACTGCTCCGCCAGAGCCTGAAGAAAGTGTCAACCAGGGAAATTGGGCTGGGTGAGGACAGGGTAGCAATTGACGAAGGGCAGCTGTTTGTTTAAACTTGTCCAGGCGTATTTGGGCAAGGGTTTCAGCACTTTTGCATGCTGGGTCTCGGATGTGCCTGTTGCACCACTGACGGTGTCGCCTTGATTGTGGCCTTGTCTTTTCGATTGGGCAGGGCCATGTCCGCGCTCACGGCTTGAGGCGAAAAACGCCTTTGCGGGCGCAGCGATTTGGGTCTTCCACTGTGTCGTCACTGCCCTATCGGCATTTCCAGCAGAGTTGCAGTTTTGTGTACGGTGCAGCCGAAGTCATCTGCAGCCCTTACAACTTCATAGTATGTGACTGTAAAGGCGCGACCGGGTCCAGCAGACGTGCCGCACTCAGGACTCACGTGGCTCAGGTAAGCCTTTTCAGCCCTTATGTACGTTAGTGCTTTCGGCTGAAAGAACAGGTTACCTCGCCACATCGAACTGTGTGATGACAGAAAGGCTGTCCAGCACGCGCGATACTGAGTTGGTTGACTTCATGGCCCTGTCCGTTAAGTGTTACTTGTACAGTGTTCCACGTGGACAGAGGGTCAGGACTTGGGGGTCGGGGACAAAGGCTGGTGTCAAACCACAAGCGGTTTCACACCGATGCAGACCACGCATGGCAGCTTAGCACGATGAGCGCAGGGGTTCGGGGGCCTAACCCGTTCCACAAACGCTGCTCGAGCAAGAGGAAAGAAAGAGACAGAGATAGAGGGCCGGGGGCAAAGCCAGCTGAAGCTTGCGGGGCGAGAGCGATTCGGGCCAGGGTTAGCATGATGTACTGCCGGAGGTGGTTTGTTGCCATGCACTTACCCTCCTTGTCCAGCAGCATGGGTCGGCAGGACAAAGGCACCGCAAGCTTTGCAGCTCACTCCAATACGGGGTGACCACTGGCGCCGGGGAGGAGGGACCCTTCTGTTCACCTTCAGAAGGAAAGAGGGAGGGGACAAGAAATCAATGTAGGATTTGCAGGATATATGCTCTTTGCGCTAGACACGTTCTTCCGTTTACAAGTTGCAAGGATAAGGATTAGACCTACAAGTATGCTGCTAAGGCTCAAAGCAACTTGGAACACTTGGGGTCTGTCATCAGGCGCGGGCTGCTGGGATCGTCCGGCAGCTTTTGGAGTCATGCTTCAGCATTGCAACATGGGTATCTCCAGATACTGCTTTTGAACGCCTGATGCCAGGGACTTCGAGCTTTTTGGTCGAGGGCCAGAGGCCCCCAGCAGCTTTGCGGAGCACTTGACAGGTTATGCGGCGTTTCGCAGGTAAATGCAGCGCAGCCGCATCGGCGCATGCGAGGGCTCGACTTCTTGTACAGCGTTCGCAACGGCAGGGGGCCGGCTTGCTTCTGTTGACAGCTTAACGTGAGCTGATTGCCTCGGAATGAGCTCAGATTCGGCAATGCTACCTAAGCCAGAAGACGAAGGAGAGGGCACACGATTCCCTACTATCCACACTCCTGTATCAACTTGTATACGATATTAATGTGACATTTGTTCTGAGTCAGGCCACTTTTTGAGTGCACTCGTTGCTTTGAATGTTGCAAACGCGACGGTGCCCTTCACTACCTTCACGCTCCACGCTCTCCCCAAAGGAGTTTCGAAACCTCTGCAGAGACGATGGGTGAAGAGTGGTCCGATCCCCCTCTTTGCTGGCAGGGAAGATTTGTGCTCCTCTCCGAGAATGTCCGAACCGTGTGTTTTGTTTTGTGCAGCCTGAAGCCTCAATCTACCTTCCCCAACTGAAAACGGGTGCTGCATGCGACACTCCACCATTTGACAATCCTTCAACGGCTTCGAGCTCTTTTTGTTGTCACTTGGGCTTGGAAGTTGTTCTATTCTCTCTGCAGGAGGTATGAAGACGAGGGAAGACAATGATGAAGAGCTGCAGAATGACCAGCGGCGCTCAAGAGTTTGGAAGCTGTTGAGGAGGGTGAATTCTGCAGACCTGCTTCTGGTTTGGGAGCAGCTCAAGGGACGGCATGAGTGTGAACCTGCGACTTTGTCCAGCTAAGCCTTGTCTGCTCTTACATCATGGTGAAGTAACATGTTGTAAGCTGGGCACTTGGATTCGTCCTCGAGCCGCTCTACAGCTGTGCACTATTGTCACTAGCGGTCTTTCAGTATTTGCATCCATATTCCGTCAAAACCTATTCTAAAATTACTGCATTTCTTCGGGATATGCAGCTTGCGCCGATGCAGGACAGTCCCGTACTTCATGACGTTGGAGGCCGATAAAACGTGTTAAGTGAGTTTGGCCTGAATATCCGTTTAGAGTTTAGACTCTGGGGTGAAAGCTGGGGGAAATCTGGCGATGGGGAATCACAGCTCAAGGAGTCTATCCGCGTCTGCAGGGGCAAGACTCTAGCAATGCTGACCCGTTGGGCCCGTTGGGCGCTCCTGCGGTCGGATACGCTCGGCCTTCCGCTTTGAGAGCCTAAGCCGTGCAGACCTCCTACAACGGGATGACGTGGAAGCTCAGCCTTGCACTCAGGCAGTGGGTGCAACTTCTGGTCCTCTAGCGAAATCTGCTGGCTTTGATCCAGAGGCAAGAAATGCCAATTCTTCAAGGAAGCAGCCGGTCAGGCACGGTCGAACTTCTTCGCCAGTCCTGCACGCAGACTTCTTGGATGCGCGTACTCCTCATGACAGCCATGCTCAGCTGCAGTGCGCAACATGCCATGCGGTGCAGTATGATATCTTAGTTCCTTTATTTATACGTTGCATGTATGTTTTGCTTTTGATGTGACGGTGCTTGTGCGCAGGTTGTCTTCCGACAGGGCGATCCAGCGGGCAATTGTTACGTGCATGTCTTGTCCAACAGCCATGTCTCCACGTTGCCGTGCGCGAGAAGTTCTCTTCCAGTTGGCGAAAAACCTGCGTATCAGGTCATAGTGACGGGCGAGGTGGCAGTGAAGATTTTCAAAGACACTGGAAAAGATGAGGATATCATGTATCTGTCATAGTCATAGTCTTCCCTGGCATTAGTATGCAGGTCTCGACAAAGAGAAAAGAGTCTCAAGATGCACTCTTCACAGTGCTGAGGTCAATGCAGATACTCTTCAAAATCCGACTCCTGCAGGTTTTCTACTGAAATCTGAGATCGTGCTCAGCTGCTAGTTGGTTACGGGTTCGGAAGAGCTCATTGTTATCGCATCCATCTTTTGGAGCATGTTGTGGCTGAAACTTCCAGTGCGGCTTGGGGTGGCCATCGAGACGAGCAGGCCTTTCATATTTCTAGGTCTTGAGATATTTAAGACCGAGAACCTCACACTTCCAGGAGAGTATCTGACATGGCTCCCAGCTCCACACCTGTCGCCCCGAGCAGGACAAATGTGGGCCTGGCATCGATTGGGGGCTTCGTCAAGCTGCGTCGGCAACACTGAGCGGATTATGATTCGGTTTCTCCACCGGGCAGCGGAAGCGCATTCCATGTTGGGCGATGTATGTTCTCAAGCAGACTGACCGGGATGTGCGCTTTCGGAACTTTTGTTCTTTACACGACAGGCCCATCTCCTCGGGAAGTTCATGAGCCACGTATGTACTGGCAGTGTGCCAAGTCACTGACAGAGCCGAATCGCGCAGGCAGTTGTCCATGGGACATACTTCTGATGTGGGGTGTTTGTGAAGTTGATATTCCAATAGCATGTTCAATGTTCCACCATTGAGTGGCGACGCGGTTTTGAGGTACGAGACCTTGACGCAGCGCGAATGGGGAACATACAGAGATATTCGTCGGATTCCGAGATGTCCTCGGGTTGAAGATGAGACCATTGCCGAGAGCTCAGGTGGCACGAGTGGAGAGGAGGAGCAACAACTCAGGACGTGATGCTGTTGATGGCTTGTTAAAGTTTGCACAAGATGAACGGCGTCTTGGAGTGTGGCAAGCACTCTTCCAAGAACGAAGGAAGTATTTTGCATGGGCCTCGCCGAAAAAGCCTGCCAAGCAGAAGGCAGAGCCGGATACTCATGTGAAAACAATGAGGCGGAGGCAGGGCAGGACGACCTTTGCTTGTCGTTGTGCCATTTTAGAAAGCTCTTCATGAAGTGCAACAGCATCATGTCAGTATCACAGGTCGATGCAAAGCGTTCTGGCCATCGTTGTGGAAGCTGCTGATGCAGTTGACAAATCAGCTGTTCGATCCTGAGACCATCTGCCTGATCTTGCGATTGCTTTGTCAAGAACCTATGCGTTGCAATGCATTGTAAGTTTTAGATATGTGCGGCATGCACGAAAGCTGATGAGAACAAATAGGCTTCGGGGTCGGTGGTTCATGGTGGGAGTTGGCTAGGGATGAGAAGGCTTGGTCATCAGGGAATCCTTTGCGACCATAGGCAGGCCAGGTCGGCAAGAGCCCCAGCGCCACTCAGCATGGAAGGTCCGCATCCGTCATCTTCTGCACATCCACAATGATGCCGCTGGGCCATGAGTTCCTAAAACATTCACAGACTTGGAGGCTGATGCGGCTGATGATCCGGAAAGGGACATGACACTCTACGAGCAGTTGCAGCAGGTCGGCGAGTGATGGCACATGACTTTCAGTAGGCAATTCAAGTAGGCAAGTCTCAACAGGTCCAACTTCCGAACTTGAGCTTTCATATTTCCTGCTGGGGCTCTCTGCTCAGCGCCAGGAAGACAATCCACGCTACAAAACTGCGGAGGGTCACTGTACTTGGTGTCCTCAGGACCACAATTGCACAATCGTGAGCAGCAATTTGCATCACATTGAGCCCGCCACGTCTTCTGCCACCTGTGAGTCGTCCCTCCTAGCACACGCGGCCTGGAGTCTTGTGTCTCTAGTGTTTCGCAGGGGTTGTATGCTTTTGTTGACTTCTCTAGCATTGGATCTATGGCATTGGGCCATTGCGCTGTCGCTTGCAGGACTCGTGCCTCGGCGAGACGGTCGTGACTTTGGGTGCCAGATGCACCTATAGTGCTTCCGCACACAGGGGAACCCAAGAGGGAAAACTTCCTGGCATGTTTCGGCGTTGTCAGATGTGACACCCTGCAGGTGCAGGATCCATTTTCGGAGAGATGGCGCTGCAAAATGACAAGCCCCGTGCTGCAACCATCGAGCAGGGCCCCAAGCTGTCGCGAATGGCTTTCATCATCGGTGAAGTCGTTCTTCGGCGAGAGACGTTCGAGGTCACCAACTGATATGGCATGGTATGTTTTGGAGTTCCACAATCCTGATGCATTTGCATAGACCTTTAAAGATCTGTGCGCAGCGATGGAGGCATGCTGCGACTTGGGACCCAGGTGCGTGCAGGATTGTGAGTTCCTTGTGATCCCGCGGTTCGTGTACAGGACGCGAAGTTCGCACGAGCCGCACAGGTCAACTCTCATTTTGTGCTTGTACGGGCATCCTTCCAGAACCGGTCGAAAGGATTGGGTACAACGGGTGCCTGCCAATGCTTTGCTTCTTGTTTGCTGAAAGGTTGGACTCGGGTTGCGAGGTTCGATAGTGCGTTGTGGCTGGATGCCCCAAACGGTCTCTACACGTCTTGGGCATTAGCAACATGAGGCAGACTGGATACTGGATACCGTTTCACGTGTTTTCGCCGAGTGTCAGCGTTTCAGTTTGATATAGTTTGATGAATGCGTCTATCCAGCTACCATGTCACCCACTTGCAAGGAGGATTCTCAAGGAGATCACCAGCAGGTCTGCCGACAGCTTAAAGGCTTCCTCCATACTGAGGCAGGGTTGGGAACGCCGTGTCATTGTTTTACTTTTCTCACGCAATCTCATGCATGGCGGGACAGGAAGCTGGACTTCTTCATGGACATGGAGGCCAGAACGACCGACGGCCGTGGAATTCGCAGAATCTGCGACCACAAGGTCGAGCGACCTGGAACCATCGACCGTCTTGCACAAAAGACCGCGTGGCAGGCGCTGAGAAGTAATTGAGCAGTTTCCACGTGGCAGCACAATTGCAGAAACTTGAGATGCTGTAAGTGCTTTCGCAAGCCCGCCACTTGCTCATTTTGACGTCATCCGCTAGAATATAACAGGCCTCCAGTTATGACTCGACCCGTAAACCATTTCTGCCTCGCAGCGGAGGACTGTCCAGCTGGGCAGGCTGGGCCCAAAAACCTGGCAGCACGGATTGCAAAGGCGTGGCATGGCGTGGCCTTGGCAGATCATCTTTCGTCAACAAGACCCACCTGGAAACTGCTATGTGCTGTGTGAGGGAACGCCTCGGCCTTAGTCGTATCATCACATCTTTCAGAGTAGACCACTTCTGCCGCAGTATGAAGGGATGTGAATGTCGCCACCACCTTGATCTTGAGTTTTTGCTCTCTGTGCGGAGCTGTGCGGGATTGAACTGCACGAGTCAATGCTGCGCGAAGTCGCTTGCGACTGGGACATGTCCTTCTGAGATCTTCTGGGCTTGTTGAGAAATCGCCTTACCTGTCAAGGGTGGATGTCTACAAGTGTGGCCCCGAGGCTCGCTGCAGACGTTGGGTTTCGACTTTTGCTGTTCCGTGTCAATATTATTCACAGATGTCATTGCGAATGTAAGCATTGAGCAATCACATGTGAACAGGCCGGTGTGAAACGGCAACTTGCAATTGCTTGCAGCTTCACGTTTCGAGGTCAGAGATGATGTGGAATGGCTTGAGACAGCGTGAACTCAATCGGAACACGTCAACAAAAGCCATGCACGCACGCCCGCCCGCCCGCGCGAATGCCCTCAATGCGCCGCACCGCGCCCGCCCGCCTGCCTGTCCGCCCGCCCGCCCGCCGGCTGCCCGCCCGCGCGCCGCGAGCACGTGCACAAGCACACGTTACGCACGCGCACACGTGCACACACTCACACGCACTTACAGTTACACACAATCATACACAATCACTCACACACACACAAACACATATTTGGTTTCAAAATCGAGCCCACCTCAGGCGTCACGCATGGCATCCCATGGGGCTCCCAAAGTTAAGAGTTCAGTCGGTGGATCTCTGCAGCGGAACCTGCTAGATGCTTCCTCGCGAAGGGGAGAGGCGCAAGCTGAAGCGTGTCGCCTCCCGAGTTTGTGCAAACAATGCTTTCGAAATGGTAGGTAAGCATGCAAGCAAATTGAAGTGTATGCATCTCTGCTCCACCCAAGCTGGCTAAGACAATGACGCCTCGCACGTGCACCATGTTCGACATGAGAGAGCAAGCCTGGCTCGCTTGCAGCGAAGTCTGAGGAAGCATTGAAGTCTTGAGATGCAAGCGCAAGTCTGCAGGCTCACCACTCTCGTGGAAGCTCGGTCCCCATAACACAGCCCTGCAGGTCCGCACAGGTCACGAAGTGATCAACGAAATGTATGAGTTCCGTGCGCCCATTGAGGCTATGCGTGGTTCAAAAGGTTTTCGCAAGGTGCGCCCGGTGCATTCTTTCATGCTCGTGTTTGTTGAGGGCTGTGAAATGCTTGCCGACCGAGGACCAACGGTACTTGACTTTGGAAAGATTCAGTTGCTTCTGCAAGGCTTGTACCGGTCGAAGTTGCACAGTCTGGGCACACGAGGTGGTTACAGCATTTGCGCTCAGGCCTCTGTGTTGGGCCCTTGCGTGGTGACTCTGGAAGTGTGCTGGCACTCAGATTTTCCGATCTAAAAGGGTATACGCGCAGGCCTTCTGCAGGCAAGGAAGGCGGAGAACAGCAAGGGAGGGAGGGGCGGTAGGAAATCAGCACCAGCACCAACGCTGGCATCTCACGTCAGTCTTCCAGGGCCGTCGATCTCGATCCCGTGCTTGATGAAATATCCAATGAACATTTGCAACTGGATGGCAGTTTGCTAGCAGCTACCGCCACCGCCACCGCTATGCGGCGCGAGGCCTGCATGCTTCGGGGAGCTGGCTCTTAAGAATACTCAGCCTCGAGCAGCGACGGTGAAGTTGGGGCCTCAATGCTCTGCTAGGACGGTTCTTCTTTGCCTCATGTAATCTTTAAGTGGGAAGGCTCGGTCAAGCCTGCATTCGCTCAGATGTCGGACAAAATGCCGGCTGATGATCTTGGAGAAGCTGCTTGGCTGCAGTGACAGGGACTATCTTCAGGAGAACTCTGATGCTGGTACGCACGAACTGAATGCCAATATGCTAACCAATCGCTTAGTTCACTACTTGCACCTTCGTGATGCGCCCATTCGTGGCTGCACGTTGTCTTCTGGTGTATCGACACCAATCTCAGGCAGCATGTCCTGCATGTGCTGACAGAGGCTCGACTAGAGATGGCTCAGTTCAGCATCTCACGGAGCATCACGGAGCATGTGGTGATTGTAGACACTGCTTGGCCAAGCCTTGCTCTGAATGGTCAGGTAATGGCCAGAGTTCGCTTCTTCAACGACCGACTTCCTGGCATTGGTGATGCAGAGTACAGGACCACAACCAAACCCCAGCCCCACCCCCACACCTTTCAACTCCTCATTGGTACATTAGTACTATTGGGGAGAGAAGCAGTCGCAGGATGGACCACCCCTGTCAGTACTTCAGCCTTCGCAAGTTCCCACAAGGCCCAGAAGCTCTCAAGCTTGTGACGGAGGTCACACCAATCTATTTATTTTAGACCTGCAATCAGGCTATCAGTTCACTCACGAGGCGGACGTCGTGCGAGCGGCCGGCTGTGAACGGAGCTTCATACATACTAAAGTCCTGTCCAGGGCATTGTTATGACGGAGCCCGCGCTTTACGTGCTGAAGAGTGGGGCCTTAGAGTTCCGCAGATACAGGACTGAATCGGGTCCGAATTTCTCAATGGTAGGCTCTTGTGGCGACATATTGTGTTTATGACTTGAATGCACATGCAAAAGAGTAAGATCGGCAGGCCTGCGGCACTGTAGCTGTACGAATGGCTTGGCCGTGTTGTGAGGAGAACAAGCCAGAATCCAGTGTACGTTCTTTCGCATTTGCCGATGGTTGAGTCGGCCTGGAAGTCGGTGCCTCGCGGTTAAGCCATGCTTGGCTTTCGACCCGACGCTGTCAGGTCTGTGGCGGCCAGGCCACCACTTGCGCTTCCTGTGATCCGAGCTAAGATAGGCCGGCACGGTGCATCGCCTTGGTGGCAAGGCCGCGCACCGGTGTTGCTGGCAGTAAGAGGCCTGCACTGGGCTCACGAGGCTCACGAGCACGTGCTGCTATCTTCGTTGGGAGCAGGTTAGGCTCCAGACCCAAGAGCAGGTCAATCCAGAGTCGTCCGGGTCTAAGTTTCGAGACTCAAAGACACCACTACTACTACTACTACTACTACTACTAGTACTACTACTACTACTACTACTACTACTACTACGTACTACTACGACTACTACTACTACTACTACTCCTACTACTACTACTGCTACTGCTACTGCTACTGCTACTGCTACTGCTACTGCTACTGCTACTGCTTCTACGACGACGACGACGACGACTACTGCTACTAGTACTACTAGTACTACTAGTACTACTAGTAGTACTACTACTACTACTACTACTACTACGACTACTACTACTAGTACTGGTACTAGTACTAGTACTCGTACCAGTACTACTAGTACTACTAG